CCATCTGGCCTCTGTTTAAAAGCTTCCAAAGAAGGAGCCTCCACCACACTCCGGGGCAGAGAGTTCCACTGCCCACTGCATTCTCTCCTGACGTTTTACCCACATCGATGGCAAGCATCCTCGTAGGTTATTATTCTTATTGTGATTATTATTATTGTGTTGTCGAAGGCTTTCATGGACAAAATCACTGGGTTCCTTTGAGTTTTTCTGGGCTTGTATGGTTATGTTCCAGAAGCATTCTCTCCTGACATTTTGCCCACATCTATGGCAGGAATCCTCAGAGGTTATTATTATTATTATTATTATTATTATTATTATTATTGTGTTGTCGAAGGCTTTCATGGACAAAATCACTGGGTTCCTTTGAGTTTTCTGGGCTTGTATGGTTATGTTCCAGAAGCATTCTCTCCTGACGTTTTACCCACATCTATGGCAGGAATCCTCAGAGGTTATTATTATTAGGTTCTTGTGGGTTTTTTTGGGCTATATGGCCATGTTCTAGAGCATTTTTCCTGACGTTTCACCTGCATCTATGGCAAGCATCCTCAGAGGTAGTGAGGTCTGTTGGAAATAGGAAAATGGGTTTATATATCTGTGGAATGACTGGGGTGGTGAGGTCTGTTGGAAATAGGATATTTCTGTTGGTTATACAAGGACTAAGGAAAGAATACAAAGCATCATCTACAAGAAGCAGAAGGAATTGGGCTGTATGGCCATGTTCTGGTAACATTCTCTTCTGACATTTCAGCTACAAGGTGGGAGAAAGAACCCTTGTCTGTTTGAAGCAGGCGTGAATGTTGCAATTAGCAAGCTTGATTAGCATTGAGTAGCATTGAGAAAAGGTTCGTTCTCCCACTGTGGACATTCCACTCCACTTGCCTCACTTCCAACAGACCTCTGAACAAACCTCTGAGGATGCCTGCCATAGATGTGGGCAAAACATCAGGAGAGAATGCTTCTGGAACATGGCCATACAGCCCAGAAAACTCACAAAAACCAGTGATTCCAGCCATGAAAGCCTTCGACAATACATTAATACAATATCCATACTTCTATACCAAAGAACCAGATCTCTGAGAATGCCTGTTATAGATGTGGGTGAAACGTCAAGAGAGAATGCTTCTGGAACATGGCCATATAGCCCTGAAAACTCACAGCAACCCAGTGATTCCAGCCATGAAAGCCTTTGACAAAATAATAATAATAATAATAATAATAATAATAACAACAACAACCTTTGAGGATGCCTGCCATAGATGTGGGCGAAATGTTAGGAGAGAATGCTTCCGGAACACGACCAGGCAGCCCTGAAAACTCACAGCATCCCAGTGATTTTGACTATGAAAGCCTTCGACAACACAATAATAATAATAATAATAATAATAATAATAATATAACAACCTCTGAGGATGCCTGGCTGGAATCACTGGGTTGTTGTGAGTTTTTTCCACGTGATTTTGTCCATGAAAGCCTTCCTGAACAAATAATAATAATAATAATAATAATAATAATATAATTACAACCTCTGAGGATGCCTGCCATAGATGTGGGCGAAATGTTAGGAGAGAATGCTTCTGGAACGCGACCAGGCAGCCCTGAAAACTCACAGCAACCCAGTGATTTTGTCCATGAAAGCCTTCCAGAACAAATAATAATATAATAATAACAACCTCCGAGGATGCCTGCCATAGATGTGGGCGAAATGTTAGGAGAGAATGCTTCCGGAATACGACCAGGCAGCCCTGAAAATTCACAGCAACCCAGTGATTATTTGTCTGGAGAGAACAAATAATAATAATATAATAATGGCAACCTCTGAGGATGCCTGCCATAGATGTGGGCGAAATGTCAGGAGAGAATGCTTCTGGAACATATATCCATAAGTCACAGCAACAAAATGGTGTGTGTGTGTGTGTATGTGTGTGTGTGTCTCCTCATTCCAAAGGGAAGGATGAGTCCTTCCTGAATCGACATTGAGTGGACCCCAACCCAACTTGGGATGCACACAAGAGAGTCAGGATTTCCTCTCCTTTCTCTCTGGTTCCATACACAAGGATCCCTCTTCTCTCTCCCTCCAAACCAGGATCCCTCTCCTTGGCCCCCATATTGAATCAGAGCTAGACCTTCTGGGCCTCTTATAACCCCCCCCCCCAAAAAGGCGCAGTCTCCCCTTGATCCCCAGCAGCCTCTTTCTCTTCTTACCTGCATCTCCTCCAGCTCTTGCTCTCATTCTCGCCTCCCAATTCTCCCAGGGAGGAGAGGCATGGCTTTCCTCTCCCTTCCCTTCCGACAAAAGCGGTGGTAGTCCGAGCCTCTTGGAGGCTGTCTCCTCTTGGGTCCGATCCCTCCAAGGAGGCAAGAACGAGGCCCCCCCTCCCTCCCTGTGGTGTCCTTCTCGTCCTTCTCTCCTCCAAGCTGTCTCCTTCTGTCCTTCTCTTGGATGGTGTCCTCCCAAAACACCACCTCTCAGCTGCAGGGCTTCTCTGGACTGCCCGTCGGATACAGAGGGATGCTCTAGGCACAGCCTAGGGGTCCTCCCCTCGCTGTAGGAGCCTTCCCTAGACTTGGTTCCCTCCTGGCCCTTGTCTCCTCGCTCCCTGGGATGGCTCTCCTTCTCCTTCCCTCCAATTGGGGCTCCTGGACGTTGTGTAGCCACTCCCTAGGATCCTTCCCTCCACTTTTGGGGCGTTATAGAGCCACTCCTTGGTCTCCAGACCCTTGTATAGCCACTCCCTGGCGTCCTTCCTTCTCCTTCTTGGAGATGATGCTTTGTATCCTTTCCTTACAGAAAGCTTGGGGGCTTCTGGCCCTTGGATGGCAGCTTCCTGGGGTCCTAACTTCTGACTTCAGGAGCTTCTGGACCTTGTGTTGATGCCTAGCCACTCCCTGGCATTCTTCCTTCTCCTTCTTGGAGATGATGCTTTGTATCCTTTCCTTAGTCCTTGTATAACCAACTGAAAGCTTGGGGGCTTCTGCCCCTTGGATGGCAGCTTCCTGGGGTCCTAACTTCTGACTTCAGGAGCTTCTGCACCTTGTGTTTATGCTTAGCCACTCCCTGGCGTCCTTCCTTCTCCTTCTTGGAGATGATGCCTTGTATCCTTTCCTTACAGAAAGCTTGGGGGCTTCTGGCCCTTAGATGGCAGCTTCCTGGGGTCCTAACTTCTGGCTCCAGGGGTTTCTGGACCTTGGACGGCAGCTTCCTGGGGTCCTAACTTCTGGCTCCAGGGGTTTCTGGACCTTGTGTTGATGCCTAGCCACTCCCTGGCGTCCTTCTTCTTCTGGTAGATGATGCCTTGTATCCTTTCCTTACAGAAAGCTTGGGGGCTTCTGGCCCTTGGATGGCAGCTTCCTGGGGTCCTAACTTCTGGCTCCTGGAGCTTCTGGACCTTGTGTTTATGCCTAACCACTCCCTGGCGTCCTTCCTTCTCCTTCTTGGAGATGATGCTTTGTATCCTTTCCTTACAGAAAGCTTGGGGGCTTCTGGCCCTTGGATGGCAGCTTCCTGGGGTCCTAACTTCTGACTTCAGGAGCTTCTGGACCTTGTGTTGATGCCTAGCCACTCCCTGGCATTCTTCCTTCTCCTTCTTGGAGATGATGCTTTGTATCCTTTCCTTAGTCCTTGTATAACCAACTGAAAGCTTGGGGGCTTCTGCCCCTGGGATGGCAGCTTCCTGGGGTCCTAACTTCTGACTTCAGGAGCTTCTGCACCTTGTGTTTATGCTTCACCACTCCCTGGCATCTGTCCTTCTGTTTCCACCGAAAGCTTGGGGGGCTTCTGGCCCTTGGACGGCTGCTTCCTGGGGTCCTCTCTTTTTGTCTCGAGGGGCTTCTGAACCCTTCCTTTTGTCTCCCGACCACTATAGCAGCTCCACTATAGCAGCTCCTTCTGTTTCCTGGAGACGATGCTTTGTACTCTTTCCTTATCCCTTGTATAACCACCGAAAGCTTGAGGGGGCTTCTGGCCCTTGGACGGCTGCTTCCTGGGGTCCTCTCTTTTTGTCTCCAGGGGCTTCTGAAGCCTTCCTTTTGTCTCCCGGAGACTACAGCAACTCCCTGGAGTCCTTCTCTGTTTTTCTGAGTGCCGATCTATCTCCTGGGTGTCTCCAGGGGCTCCTGGCCGTTGTTTTGGCTGCTTCCCGGCGACCTTTCTTCGGCTCTTGGGTCTCCGCGACCGAGGCGATACCCCAATGCTCTGCTTTTCGGCTTTAAGCAGCGGCTGCTCGGCAATTTCCGTCGCCTTGCCTTTCCGAAGGGCAGGTGGGAAGAAGAGAGAGCGAATGGAAGAGGGAGGGGATTGGGGGGGAGGAAGGAAGAGAGAAAAGAGGCCTCGCCCTCTTTCCCTTCGCCCTTTAGATGCGCACAGAGGCACGCTTTTGAGTCGGGGGAGGAGGGTGGGGTGGGAGGATGGAGACAAGGCTTCCTCCTCCTCTTCTTCCTCTTCCTCCTCCTCTTTTTCCTCGCTTGGGAGGGGGTTGAAAGACACAAGCAGAGGAGGGAGGGCGGTTGAAGCTGGAGAAAGGGGGAGAAACTGGAATCAATGGCCGAATCTCCTCCCTCTCCCTTTCCTCCCCCCTCCTTTTTCCTTTCTCAATGTGGAGGAAGAAAGGAAGAAAGGAAAGAGGGAGGAGAGAGAAAGGAGGGGGGTTGGGGATGGAAAGGGAATGAAAAAACAAACCGAAACCTAGGCGTGGGAAGACCTCTCTCTGCCTTTCTCTCTCTCTTCCAGACATTTCAGAGAGAGCTTGCTGCATGCAGACACATTGGAGGATCAATGCAGTTTGAGCTCTTGGCTGAATACTATGGAATCCAGGGACTGGTCCATTGGCTTCGGCCCTCCTGGTGTTTTGGACTTCAACTCCCACCATTCCTAACAGCCTCAGGCCTCTTCCTTTTTGTGTCTCAAACTTTGCATCTCAAACAAGAGGATGATAATAATAGGTAAAGGTTTTCCCCTGACATTAAGTCCAGTCTCATCCTACTCTGGGGGCTGGTGCTCATCTCCATTTCTAAGCCAGCGTTGTCCGTAGACACCTCCAAAGTCACATAGCCAGCATGACTGCAAGGCGTGCTGTTACCTTCCCGCAGTAGCAGTACCTATTGATCTACTCACATTCGCATGCTTTCGATCTCCTAGGTTGGCACAAGTTGGGGCTAACAGTGGGAACTCACCCCACTCCCCGGATTCAAACTGCTGACCTTTTGGTCAGCAAGTTAATCAGCTCAGCGGTTTAACTCACTGCTCCAGCTTGCCTTGGGTTTCCTATGTTTGTGTTCTCTACAGCTGCTTTGAGGCTCCATGTGGAGAGAAAATACGAGATAATCATAATCATAATAATAATAATAATAATAATAATAATAGGTAAAGGTAAAGGTTTTCCCCTGACATTAAGTCCAGTCTCATCCTACTCTGCAAGGTGGTGCTCATCTCCATTTCTAAGCCGAAGAGCCGGCATTGTCTGTAGACACCTCCAAAGTCACATAGCCAGCATGACTGCAAGGTGCACCATTACCTTCCCGCAGAAGTGGTACCTATTGATCTACTCACGTTTGCATGCTTTCGGTCTCCTAGGTTGGCAGAGCTAATAGGGCTAACAGTGGGAGCTCACCCTCGCTCCCGGATTCAAACTGCTGACCTTTCGGTCAGCAAGTTCATCAGCTCAGCGGTTTAACCCACTGCCCCAGCTCCCCTTGGGTTTCCTATGTTTATGTTCTCTACTGAGTCTCCATGTGGAGAGAAAATACGAGATAATAATAATAATGATAATAACAGGTAAAAGTAAAGGTTTTCCCCTTACATTAAGTCCAGTCGTGTCCTACTCTGGGACTCTGGTGCTCATCTCCATTTCGAAGCCGAAGAGCCACCGTTGTCCGTAGACACCTCCAAAGTCACATAGCCAGCATGACTGCAAGGTGCGCCATTACCTTCCCGCAGAAGTGGTACCTATTGATCTACTCACATTTGCATGCTTTCGATCTACTAAGCTGGGGCTAACAGTGGGAGCTCACCCCCGCTCCCCGGATTCAAACTGCCGACCTTTCGGTCAGCAAGCTCAGCAGCTCAGTGCTTTAACCCACTGCGCCACCGGGGGCTTCCTGCAAAAGTGATGACTATTGATCTACCCACATTTGCATGCTTTTGATATCCTAGGTTGGCAGAAGTTGGGGTTAACAGTGGGAGCTCACCCCCGCTCCCTGGATTCAAACTTGCTGACTGCCAACGACCTTTCAGTCAGCAAGTTCATCAGCTCAGCGGTTTAATCCGCTGCTCCAGCTCCCCTTGGGTTTCCTATGTTTGTGTTCTCTACAGCTGCTTTGAGGCTCCATGTGGAGAGAAAATACGAGATAATAATAATAATGATAATAATAGGTAAAAGTAAAGGTTTTCCCCTGACATTAAGTCCAGTCGTGTCCGACTCTGGGACTCTGGTGCTCATCTCCATTTCTAAGCCGAAGAGCCGGCGTTGTCCGTAGACACCTCCAAGGTCATGTGGCCAGCATGACTGCATGAAGCGCTGTTACCTTCCCACCGGAGCGGTACCTATTGATCTACTCATGTTTGCATGCTTTCGATCTGCTAGGTTGGCCAGCATGACTGCAAGGTGCACCATTACCTTCCCACAGAAGTGGTACCTATTGATCTACTCATAGAATCATAGAATCAAAGAGTTGGAAGAGACCTCATGGGCCATCCAGTCCAACGCCCTGCCAAAAAGCAGGAATATTGCATTCAAAAATAAATGATTTTCCACTGACCCAGGACCTTTTCTCACATTTGCTTTCCCTTTATCCAATGTCATCCTTCTTCAACTCATGTCACTGTGTCTGGTTGTGATCCCCAGGTTGTGCCAGTCAGCTTTTGTATGATATTGTTTCTAGTGCCCCACTTTTTGCTTGATGTTCAGGCAGTGCTTCTTGTAGGTCAGAGCACGGTCCAGAGTGACTCCCAGGTATTTGGGTGCACTGCAATGCTCCAGTGGGATTCCTTCCCAGGTGATCCTCAGAGCTTGGGATGCTTGTCTGTTCTTGAGATGAAAAGCACATGTCTGTGTTTTAGATGGATTAGGGATCAGTTGGTTTTCCCTGTAATAGGCAGTAAGAGCACCTAGAGCTTCGGAGAGCTTCTGTTCAACCATCTCAAAGCTCCCTGCTTGAGCGGTGATGGCACGATCATCAGCATAGATGAAACTCTCTGTCCCTTCTGGCAGTGGCTGGTCATTTGTGTAAATGTTGAACATGGATGGAGCGAGCACGCTCCTCTGAGGCAGGCCGTTCTTCTGTTTCCACCATCTGCTTCTCTGGCCCTGGAACTCAACAAAAAAAGCTCCTGTTTTGTAGCAGGTTTCCTATGAGATGGGTGAGATGGTAATCCTTTGTGATATTATACATTTTTCTCAGGAGGAGGCAGTGGTTCACAGTATCATAGGCTGCTGACAGGTCTTTGAAGACAGCTCCTGTGATCTGCAAAGGTGATCTTCAAGGGTCTGGAGAACAAGCCCTATGAGGAGCGGCTTAAGGAGCTGGGCATGTTTAGCTTGAAGAAGAGAAGGCTGAGAGGAGATATGATAGCCATGTATAAATATGTGAGAGGAAGCCACAGGGAGGAGGGAGCAATCTTGTTTTCTGCTTCCTTGGAGACTAGGACACGGAACAATGGCTTCAAACTACAAGAGAGGAGATTCCATCTGAACATGAGGAAGAACTTCCTGACTGTGAGAGCCATTCAGCGGTGGAACTCTCTGCCCCAGAGTGTGGTGGAGGCTCCTTCTTTGGAAGCTTTTAAACAGAGGCTGGATGGCCATCTGTCAGGGGTGATTTGAATGCAATATTCCTGCTTCTTGGCAGGGGGTTGGACTGGATGGCCCATGAGGTCTCTTCCAACTCTTTGATTCTATGATTCTATGTGGTGAGTCAGGTTCAGCACTTGCGATGTGCAGCTTTTGCCTTTCCTGAAGCCAGCTTGCCGTGGAATCAGACAGGGGTCTATTTTTTTTTTCCATAATTCTATGCAAAATAAGTCTCTCCAGAACAACAGAGAGATTGATCTGTAGCTTTTTGGATCATTACGGTCTTTGCCTGGCTTCAAGATGGCGATGACTCTTGCTTTCCTCCAGATTTTGGGGATCTGACAGGATGCAGTGCAGTTGTTCATCAGCTCCAGCACCTGCTGCAATGCACCCTGAGCCCTGCCACATGCACAATGGAGGACCTTCTTGCGGCAACACCAGAGGCACTCCAAATGGCCAGATACTGGTCAAAGGACATTTAATCAACT